ATATCCTTTTATCCGCTCATAAATTATATGCAGATATTTAATAGTAAAAAACATATATAGAAAGAATACATTATATTCTGATTTGTTTAATTTCTCATAAACAAAAATCAACAGAAACAAAAAGCGAAATGAATAGGCTTCCATGAGTATGTCTTAGAAGTTGTACTGTAGATTTCTCTCTAATGAGGATATATAAATATTATTTATTTAAACTAAAAATGCTGGTATGTTCTTCGTTTTTTTCCAATTATTTACAATTAACAATTTTGTTCTTTGACTGTTCCCTGTAGCAAGAACGAAATAATTAAAATATGTTTTGATATTATTCCGGGAAATGCAATAATAATTATACTATAATAACATCAAAAAAGCTTCATAAAATGTTTTTTTTTTCACTGGCCGTCATGGCATTTATTAATTATTGACCGACTTTTAATGAAAGACCAAACGTTTCTTTAATCTCTCCTGACACATATTCTTGTTCTTACATGTTCTAAACATTTAAATACTTTTGAAATCTAAATGGCAAGCAGATATAGTAGCTGAAAAAAATTGAAATTTAAATATAACAAAATATAAAAGGAGATGTAGAATTAGTTCATAAAGGACTCTTTGCTTTCATGGTATTTTTAGTAATGATACTCATTTACGCGGCTCATTTGCTTTAAATAGTTATTCTACTTTTCGGAACTGGTAATCTTCTCATAAAGTTTCCTAAAATCTGGAATCGAGTTGTCCCATGTATCTTATTGTTACTTTTGAGCACTGTACTTTCTTCTGTTTATAATCGTCAGTCAGCAAATGCGGCATCCGTCATGCACAAATCGTCTTTTAGTCCACATGTTTTGTCATAATATTTATTATGTACTGATCCTTTTGAAAAGTCCAGATAGTTATTGCGCGCAGAGGATATGTAGAGTCAGCTTTAACCATGCATTTTACAGCAATGTTTCAAAGAGTGATTCCAGTACTGACTGCGAGCACTGTTCTTATATTTGAAAGCCTTGGTGTCATTTCTAACCAATTTGAAGCAAGTTGAAACACTGCATTTCCATACGCTATTGATCCAAAAGTGGACATAAGATTCCATTTAGTGTATTGTATACATTTATTACTCAACAAAATATTGACCGGGCACTTCATTTATTTCTTAAAGGTCATTTGAATAAGCACTGACCAGTATCTATCGAATATATCGAAATCTTTGCTCACATCACTCGTCAGTGAGGTGTGGTGTATTGCTACCGATCTGAAGGTCTCTGGTTCGATTCCTTACCAACATCACGTTATGATATTTTTAATTTACTTGCAAGAATTAATTTGAAATCATTTAAATACACCTGCCTTTAGAATACCTTTAAATTGGTATACACAATAATATTTATTTCATTACAGTATCTTTCAACGGTTCTTTTTGTGACATTATGTAATTGAAAATGCTTTAGCGCATACACGCTATTAAGGAAGTTATTAAAAATACTAGTGCATAGAAAGTACACACAAACAAACAATTTTCAATAGTTTTAAGAGAATAGCAATTCTAAAATTAAAATAAAAAAGAAAACAAATCGCTGAAATAGTATTCGAACCTACCATTTCACGTCCACATTCTAAAGCCCTTTTACCTACTGCGCTCGGAGGGATGTTTAATCTTCACCATTTTAACAATTGGACAATTAATATTCAAGTCGATTTACAAGTAGATCGTAATGCTTACTGAATATACCGACTTCAGGGTCAAATGCCCAGGTCATTGTTTGTAGACAATACTTAAATATAGCCGCTAAATGTTTGTTTTCACTATTATGATATAATACTTCATATCTATCAAAATAACAGTAGCAGTCAGCGACAACATGTTTTTTCCATTAATTAAATTAAACACAACTATCATAAATTATCTTGAATTTCGGGCAAATTGACCGACGAATTTTTAAGAACCACATAGAAATCAGATCGTTTTAAATCACCCTGAGGCTCGAACAATCAATGTTTCCTTCTTTAAAATAAAATGGTACACGTTCCCCTTCTAAAGCGTTCGATGCATCATTCATTTTTAACGTATATGTGATAATTCCAATGTTGCCGTTAGGTCTATTTCTGTAATAATCATGATAAAAAATGTTCTTGAATAAAGACAATGCCTTCGCTTTCGTTTAATTAGGCAAACCATTTAAATGATTAAAAGTGTGGCTTACAAATCAGTTTTAATAAGAGAGTAATTTTGGAACGTTTAGAAAATAATGTGTTACGAAAAATCATTGCTTTAACTGGAGACACGACCATTACATTGATCTCAATATTATCGAAATGAGTATTAAAAAGTAAATTAAAGATCTGTTATAATATATGCATTTTCTTTATAGCTCTACCTATTAATATGTCAGAAATATTGTATGTAAGCACACGAGGTAAAACGACTGGCAGCATTTCAAAAATTGAAAGCTTTTATTTCTGATAATTGAAAGTTAATCGATTTATTATAATGATGGACTTCTTGGCATGCATAGAAAATGCAATAAAAAATGTTCACTTAAGATCTTCATGGGAATACTACATCATTCCTTTCATATCGGAATAACTTAACAGCCACAGAGATTTTAGAAAAACACACTTATTTTTATCATTATGAATGCATCTCAAAATAGCAATGCAGTTCAAGAATTAAGAAATTCAGTTAAAAATAAAAGAGAAGCAGCTCGTTTAAAAATCATAATGAAACTGAAAATAGTTTTAAAGGTTAATTAACAAAAACACAATAACATGAATATATCATTATTAAAAATACTCTAGCTATATCAATGAACGTGTATACTTCATATTAAAACAGTATAAATGTTCGTGATACGTCACTTTTAAATAATTTATTGTAAGATGCATGAAGATATCTTTATAATTATTAACATATAATTGTCTTCTTTATAATAGGGGCGTCCGTCGAGTGGTTAAGGTCGTTGACTTCAAACCACTTGCCCCTCACCGCTATGGGTTCGAATCCCGACATGGACTTTGGATTCTTTCATGTGAGGAAGCTACCCAGCTAGCTTACAGAACGTCGGTGGTTCTGCTCAGGTGCCCGTTCGTGCCTGAAATTATGCACGGAAGGGCACCTGAGGTCTTCCTCCACCAGTAAAGCTGGAACGTCGCGATATGACCTATACTGTGTCGATGTGACGCAAAACCCAAAACAAAACAAAATCTTTATAATAACTACATACAAGATTCTAAAAATTATTACGTTACCTGCTTGATCTGAAATACATTATAGTAATATGAATACTATTTCCTAAATGTCCTAAGAATGTTATGTATTTATAAATTTTAATGATTTTAAGAAAGGTTTATACATATTTTTTACTTCAAAAATGTATGCATAGGTCGGGCAAGAGTTATTTCTAGACAAATATACATTATGATATTTAGGTATTTTTTCATTAAACAGTGAAACATGAAATGACAGAAAACGAATGTCATAGAAGAAAATTCAACGTCTCATAAATGTAGAAAGGTTAAACAAAAGCCATTGTTAAGTATAATAGAAAAAGACAGATAAGGCAATATGGTAATCAATTTTTGATAATGACATCGTCTACTGAGAATCATGGCATTGATGGCGATAGCTCCAAAAAATGACAATATCACCATAAATCAAATAGGGATGATTCCGCTTAATGATATCATTTTCTTCTGACATATATTTCCCAAATTTAGACAAATAGGATCCTGAAGAGCGTTTTCTATTCTTCGTACGTATATACGTATATTGGTTGCAATGATATAATATTTACGTATATTGCATTCTACATCAAGGAAAAGATCATTTAATTGGTATGTTTGTTTACTGCCCGAGTAATCCTTAATAAGTAACGGCAAAATGATTTTATACAAAATTACATTACATTGAGTAAAATTTACATTGTAAACAACAAATAAGCCTGAGTTCTACCGTAGTAGATTTATAAAAATGTTATAATGTATCTTCAGATAGATTATAACCGGCTGTAAACAAGTAAATTAAAAGAGAAAATCTCTTAATTTTAACACCCCGAGGCACGTGTTTGTGTAATAAAACCAGGAAAACCCATAGATATGATTCATATCTTATAATAGTTTTTTTGGTGAAAATTGATGCTATCCTAGTTGTAACTTTACGATTGGTCATAAAAACGTTAAACTTTGATTTAAGTTAAAAGGAAACAAAAGCATGTAATAACTTGTAAGCTAGGTTATATGTCTTACAATATTCGATTAATAGACATTGAAACCTCTATTGATATAACTTTCATAAGACTAAATTATACGTGCTTAAATAATGTTTAACACAAATATATAAAATTAATATGATTTAAAGACGAATAGACGTGCCGAAATAATATACCGGTTAAAATTTTGCTAATCATTTAGTTTATACAAATGCTTAAAGAAGCTCCACTGAGGTCTTATAACCTAAAATAATAAATTTTGAAACTTTTCTTAAATCAACTGGTATACTTAAATTTTGAAACCAAGCAATAGATGACATATAAATATATATGGTATTAAATTGATGCGATTTTTGGCCGATTTGAGTGAAAAGCGTCGCAACGGTTTTCATTTTTGTTTGGGTCAATTTGCACAATAGAATTAATTATTTCTGGGAAACAGAGAATGCAAATGATCCCAAAAGTTTGTACATCAGTTACTGGTCTTGACACACATCTAATTATACTGAAATCTTGAAAACTATTTTTGTTCCCTTAACGTAAAAAAAAAACAGAGTGGAGTCCCTTTAATGAAACACTCTCAAAAATGTGATCATTAACAGAAAAGGAAATATTTTGAACTAATATTGAAAATTTTTGGAAAACAAATCAATGACAAAATAAACACCAAGCAAAAACAGAAAGAAGAAAGATTAACAAAAAAATGGATGAAGAAATAAAACAATAACAACAACAAAAGCAACACCAAAAGACACCCCCGTTTAAAACAACATAAAACATTGATCTTGCCGTGTATATTATTAGTTATAAAGATCGTTGACAGGTTATATGGCCCTATATAAACGGCTGTTTGTAAATATAACCCGAGCCGTTAGGCGAGGGTTATATTGCAAACAGCCGTTTATATACGGCCATATAACCTGTCAACGATCTTTATAACGAATTTATAATACTGCACATATGTTAATTTACCTTTAAATGTAATAATTTTATTTAAAACGCGCTGAAAACTGTTCTACGATTTATTATTTTTGCGTCGTAATATTCCCCGTTGAGAGCCTCATAAGAACGGAATGTCCCGAATCGCCTTCGGAACTCTACGCTGTCATATGATCACGAGTCCTCGACGAACCAATAAGACGGCATCAATTTCCAGCATAGTTCAAAGGTCACATGTAAACAGTTCAGTGTGTGTATTGGCGTGGAAAATTGGAAGCGGGAATCGTTAATTATTGGAATATAATTATATTTGGAGATTTGCTGCGTATACTGATGTTGATCAACATTTAATTTGGGCAGTAAGTAAATTTTGTAATACAATTTCAACTTTAAAACGTCTTTATTTTTCAACATTTTGCAAGAAAATTGGCAAAGTTCAATCAATGACAATGATGGCGGTTCAATGTACTTGATAAACCTCTTGCATACATGTACATGAATGTTGCAACAAATTATACTTTACCGTATTACATCTAATAAACCTTATTATTTGTTTTCACAATTCTTTCAATAGTTAATAGCTCAAAGAACCTACCAGTGTTTACATAATTTATTCTTTTATTCAAACAAAATAATACAAATTCAGTAAAGGGTGGCATGCAACAATGTAATTATTAAGGTACAGTAAGTTCCAAAAATTATTCATTTATTATTGCATCATATTGCAAAAATTACATGTGTACATAGTAGATCTAACTTGTTTTTCTTTTCTGTTGCAGATTTTGAGAGAGAACAATTTAACAAATGACAGTTTGCTCAGGATATTGGAAAAAGAAACAGACTCAGTCTTCTGAATTTATGGAGAAGTTTTATATCTTAGTGAGTCACTCAGATGATCAAACCTGTGAACTTGCGCTATAACTTTATAAATATAAACTCATAAACAGGTGAAAAATACAAAAATGTGAAAACCAAACATATTAAATAATGGTAACACTTATTTAACAAAAAAGCCCCACCCCCCGCCCTCCAAATTATGTAGCTACAGTATGGTTTGTGTAATCAACTTACATATAAAGTTTACATAAACTTGAAAACATTAATAGGTCAACAAGGACAACTGTAAATATTAAAACAAACTGCTGTTAACATGAAATAATATTGAAATTTTAAGTGTCTGTCAACTATTTTTTAACATCAGTAACTGTTGTTTGTCAGTTTATTTTTGTACAAAATTGAAATTTATTGTGACTCCTGACATATGGCAGTTGTTGAAAATTCCTTGACCTCTTTGGTTTGTTATCATTGAATTTCGGGCTGGTGCAAACACATCTGGCAGTGAATCAAAATCTGAGAAGAAATCTTCAGGATTGAAATCATCCATTGCATACAATGCATTCCTCCCATTATCTGAATCCAATACAGACACTGAAATTTGGTAATAGAATATATTTATAGAAAAGTTAACCTATGAATACATACATTTTTTATAAAAATCATTTGCTATTTTTACTCTTCTTCACAAAATTGATTTCTAAATTCTAAACAAATCTATTTTAATTTCTTTTAAAAATTTTTTTTAGGAAAAGGTTTGTTATTATGTTTCTAATTAGATAAAGTCAATTTCTTTAAAGAATGGATATTTTCATATTTAGATGTAGTATATGTATTCATAATTCTAAGTATAAATTTTATCTAGATTATTTGCACTGACCTGAATTTGATTGTAAGTTGCGTTTGAATGGCACCAGGCTACATACATTCTGTTCTGGATTTAATGAACTACTACAAGATGGCAGTGTGCGTAATGTATGGCTGGTACTTGGCAGCATTGGTAGATTCTCCTGGCCTATGATTTTGTTGGAAATAGCATTTCCCATTTGTTGTTTCTCTGTATCTGATACCCTTTGATATAAAGCTAGGGACGATGTTGATCTGTGTCCGGACACAGCCATGATTTGCGGCATAGAAAATCCCTGCCCAAGGATAGATACACCAGTGACCCGAATTGAATGGTTCGTATATACTTGCGAAAGTGGCACTTTTTGTGATAGACATTTCAGAAATGATGCAAGTTTGTCTCTTCCCATTGGTCTATTTTGATACCAGCTTTCATCTCCATATTGGTAAGCATCTCTTGGGTATTGCCATAAGCGATTGTTGGATGGATTCAATTTTGATGTGTATAGCTCATACAGTCTTACTGGGCATAGGTCACTATTAATCTTATCTTCTGGCATGTGACCTGTTATTAATGCCTTTTGTTTTTCTTGATGGGTTTTTGTAAATTCATCTTCTGACTTATAGACATATCTAGTTCCATCAGGGTATTTTCCAATTTGAAATGTGCTTTTTGTCATCTGATCGAAATTTTCATTTGCTCTTCTACAAAAAAATAATCTTATATTCATCTGCACTCTATTAAGTAGGCCAGATGTGTATTTGGAGTGAGATATACACTCATGTACAGCTTTGCTAGGTCATCATCTGTAATCTTAGGGTAGTGATTTATAGATCCTTGCCCATTTTGTTTTAGCTCTTTTAAAGCTGTTTTCATGCATTCATTTGCATCCAAAAATTCTGGACCAGTGATAATGTCAAAATGTTTATTGAATGGTGGAGATTTCAAGTATCTATTCAGACTATGCCGAATGTTTTCAAGTGTTGAGGTTTTATATGCCTGTCCATTCACAGTACGGGCATCCATATAAAAATGACCCAATGCTCCAGCTAATTTTGTTTCATCAAACTCTTCAAAATTAGTTTCAAGACCCTTTTCTTCAAGATATTTCCTAAAGGTTTCAGCACAGTGAGTATTCATTTTTTGAGTGTTATATGGCACAGTTTTTTTTCTCTTCTCTTCAATTTCTTGATCAGTGTGACTTGCAAATCTTTTCTTCATATTTCAATCAAATGAAATACCTAAATCAAAAAGAACAATCATTATAATCCCCAAAAAATTATTTCCAGTCCTGTCATATTATCGACCATTTTTTAAATATTGTTTAGAAGGCTTGTTTATAAATGTAAAAATCAAATCAATTTGTTTTGCTTTTAGACCAGCATACTGTACATCATTATGAATATTTTTTTCTTCAAAAATTAAAAAAAAAAAGAAAATACAAAGAAATGTACAAGTATTTTTAATTTTAAGAAATGTTTTCACAGTGAATATTTTAACTAAATACATATTTTAACACTTCATTTTATTATGGAACATTGCATAAATTTGAAGGCAATCTTAAGTTAAGTAGTTAATTCTTCAAGATAAAATAATATTAAATTAAATTTAGATGCATGCTGCTTTAAATAGTAAATTTAATAATTTTAGTACTTATTAAAGTTAAATGATTTATCAGGAAATATGCTGCTTTAAATACAAATTTTATTTGAAATAAGTAAATGTAACTTTTTTCATACATTTGTATATGATTTTGCTAGTTAAAATTGTTGATTTTTATTTAAAAATTATGTAACAAGTCATGTTTTGTGTGCCTTTTTATAAACTTTTTATAAAGTATTACTTTAAATATAAATATTTTTTTCTTAATTATATGTTCTTTATATATAAATAATTTTTCATGTATTATGTATAGTTGAGACTGATAGCCATATAACCAAAGTTATATGTTCTTTATATATAAAAATGATTAGAGATTTACATTTTATAAGTTAAGATCAAGCAAACAGTTCAGTTGTTCATAAGATTTTTTTTTGTTGTAATGACCTTTCATGTTTTTCAGCCTTTTTTTAAAATTTCATTACATTTGGTTAAAAATTGTATTTATTTGTTAATTTCAAAATGTTTGAAAATCAGTAAATTTTGTGCTTAAAAATTAAGTGGTCAATTTTTCAAGTTTTGGTCAAGTTATTTATTAAATAAGGGGAAAGAATATTGTATGGTTTTGTGAAATTATGTTTGATTTGTTTTTATTAAAGTAGTAAAGAATTACTTTAATTGTTGTGTTCATTGAATGTTGCATTTCCTTGTTGATCTTTTCTATCATATTTTATTCAGTTCTCCTGTTTAGTTTGTTTTGTTTTAAATTTGTTATGTTTAAAGATATCCATGCTCATGCTTGAGTAAAATTTTTTAATAAGAGAAATTTGTTTAAATTTATGAATTTCTTACTGACTTTGCATAATTTAAATAGCAGAATGAATACACTATATATTGGTATTTTCTTTTAAAAAATGCCAGTTTTTTTAACAACACTATATAATCTTATTGTGACTAACTATTGTGTGTTGAATTTTAAACATTTTACTTTGTTTGAAGTAAAAAAAAAAAATTGTTGGCAGGTTATATATAAGCAATCAACAATATTTACTAATATCAAATTTGAGCATAGAGCAGTATATTTTTAAAGTTCATGTTATATTGATGTTAACCAGTACTTTTCTTTTTTGTTCTATTTTTCACATATTTACCATACTAACTAGTTTTGCAATGGCCATTTTGTCTGTACACATATATTTATGTGATGTAATGCCGTTTGCTTTATATTTATACAATTATATTGTAACTTTAGTTTGTATTACTTTATCACCGTCAATGAAAGTTGAATTTCATATACATGTATGTTTTTAAAAGAATATTATATTTTGCTTCATTACTAAATTTATTTTATTTGTATATCTATTTAATAATGATCATGCTTGCAAGAAGCTTGCATAAAATATTTCTGTTGTGTTCAACAGCTTAAGTAAATTCAATATTGAACCTTTACTTATTGAATATTCTTTCTGTAATAAAAACATAAATTTTGTTTACAGTATACTATACAGTACATGATTTTTAATTCAATTTTGAATAGATCTAGTAAGTGAAATTAAATTCTAAAATAAGTTTGTGACAGTAATTCCCATTGCTTTCTACAATTTTGTATGCAGAACACATACATTTATAAAACATAACTATATCCTTGTCATTTTTATTTAGATGTATGTGTTATTATATCACTTTCCATTGAAGAATATCTACATGTACTATGATGTTATAACAATATTGTTCTGAAGTTCAACATTTTGTCAATTCATAATAAAAAATATTCTTAATAACAAAGAATGTTTTGTCATTTATTTAGCATTAAATGCATAATATACTTCATTCCCAGGCATTTCCACCTTGTAATTATATCCATTCTTGGAGATGGTAGTTAGAATCTAATTATTTTGTAAAATTGGTTGACAGACTTCAGTGTCAATATTGTATCAGGCCAATACTGTCATTTGATAGACTAGATTTAATGTAAATATGTACATAAAAGACGAAAGGGCTAACAGAATGGTTACAGAAAACCATTCACACAAAAGTGTTAAAAAAAACAAGTTGATGGCAAACTACCTTGTTTTTAAATAACTCCTTTTCTGGATACCTGTCAAATTTGACAAAGATCGTCTGCACTGTGTAAGCTCGATCAAACAAGCGCTTGGTCAACAAGAATTAAATATTGTTCGTTTCTATGAATAAAACAGCTGAAAGATGAATGAAAACACAAAGCAAATAGTTGTTTACATCAATTTATTTTCTTAGAAAAAGAGATTATTGATCAATTAATCAGTCATAGTCGAAATTATCGCTGTAAACTTTTCTAGCGGGGCTAAAAAGCGATTTTATGGCCGCCATATTGTTTATAGTATCTAGTGGTGACAACCAATCAAAAATGGGGGTGTGTCGGGGGTTCTTGAAGGGAAGCCGTGTATATTGAAGAAAAAGCCGTGTATAGGAAAAATGTAAACGTCACGATTATCCAATGAAAATTAACGTAACAAAGGTGCAGTATTATAAGAACTAATAAATAAGCAAATAAAAAACGATCAGAAATAAGCTCAGCAACAAAAGACCCAAGTTTCGAATCTACGCTGATACAATGTACTTTGTGCTTTAAATATCACAATAAATACTAATAATTTGGTGTCATTGTATAATACTATTATCACACTAAGTAATTGTTGCTGATTATTAGTTATTAAGCTATCTATCCAACAAGTGTAAGTGATATATATCGTATTTCTGGACAATTATCAAAAGCTAGTTTACTAAAATGTATTACACTTCTTGTTTTAAATCGCTGTGTGAAATAATTATCAGTGCAATATTTTTCGGGTTTAGGCTTTGATTTTTCTTCAAATAGTTGATTTTCCTAACTGAAAAGGCGGCCTTGAAAGTTCCACGATAACTCTTTCTTACATAGATCAAACTGTTTTATATGCAAATAACATTCAATGCAATTTGCTTTCGGTCTAACATCAATAACGTGTTATTGCCATATATCTTTTACACTTCACATAATTATGATATTTGTATCTTTACATTGTTAAAATTTCAAACATCCTCAAAATGTAAATAAGATAAATTTATTTCAAAACAAATGCAGTTTACCATCTGAAATAACCATACATTTTTATTTTTACATTACCATCTTTTCCTTTTAAACAAAACGACAACACATTTCACATCCTTTTTAAATACCATTTCGATGAGATAATATCAAGAAAATATTGATATCGGTAAAGTTTAGAGTTTAATTAATATGTAACTGTAGGAACATCATCCAAAAGGATCCAAGATATTGAGTTATTATATTTAATTAAAGCACGAAACTTCTAAAATATCATACATTATTAATTTTGAGTCTATGACACCTGACATTAAGCATTATTAATAATTATTTTCTGAAGTACATTTTATACATAGTATGGCCTTTTCAACTTAACAGTGTCTCTCGTTTATACTAAATTTAATTTATTTATATTACGAATACAGTATTCTTTTTTAAGATAAACTATCCAAATACTGAATCAATGTATAAAAAGGACATCAAAACGTCTATAGACTACAATTAAATAATTTGTAAAGTTTGTGTAGGCAATATGAATCACCTTACGAAAAGCGTTATTTTCTAAAATATATGTCCTTTTGGCTCAAGCATTCAAATGACATGATTTAAAAGTACCTGGTGCCATTTCTTTCTTAAACATCACATTATTGTCACACCGCTTACACTTGAAAATTGTGACATCAAATAATTGGAAACCAAGTTGAACATGAAAATTCTTTTTTGATTATTT